GGCCCGGCCCGGCCCGGCCCGGTGCTGGCACGGGGAGGTGGGCGCGACTCTCCCCGCAGGTTGGCCCTGAACTGCCGCCCGGCTGCCGGCCTCCTGCATGTCAGCAACTTGCTTCTGTGACGCCGGGGCTGGATCTGGGCCCTTCCAGTCCCAGGTGTCCTGCCAGAGGGGCGCGGGCTTGCTGGGAGGTAGAGGGGTGGAGGAAGCAGTAAAAGCCAGTCCAGGTAACGGGTAAGACTCAGTAGCCTCCTCCGCAGAGGCCCCGTGTTAGCTAGTCGGGTCCGTGTCTGCTGTGCCGTGCCCCAGTTCCATGTTTCTCTCTGCCGTCACAGGGGCATGTGGGAAGGAGTCTCTAGGAAAGGTCCACCAGGGCTGTAGCACCTTCTCCCGGTTCTCTTGGACTGACTCTGCAACTGTTCCCAGCAAATGTATTTTGTAGATATCGCGGTGAAAGCTTGCAGTGACCACCAGATTTGGGAACCCAGCTGGCCACTGCAGCTGTCTCCAAGCAGCCCTCCTTTTACTGTTGTGTCCAGCCCCCTCTGCCTCTCTCAGCTGTCCCTTTTCCTTTGTTCTTCTCCTTCCCTGTCTTTTATATTTAAATTCTCTTCTTCTAAAGAGTAGAGCTTCTGTTTGATAGTCTGCTCTCTTCATGTCCCTGCATCTGGTGAAGTGAGCTCTGTCACAAAAAGCTTAAGGATCCCTTGCCCCAGCTACACATTACATGTATCATGCAGTGAGCTGGTCAATCGCGCAGTAAATTTAGACAGGCCACATGCTTGGAGTAAGACCAACTGCAAGTACAAAGTAATTATCACACAATTAACTAGCTAATCATGCAATAAATTTAGACCAGCCACATGTGCAAAGTAATTGTCACTTGCTAAAAATGACTATCTGGCTAAAACAAAAAAGAGCCAACTAGCTCTAAAGTTAGTGCTTGAAATTGTGTAACAACTCCATAGCTGGTTTCTATCCAGCTTTCATTTGAACGTGTAGCAGGGCCCTCTGATCCAGTTAGTCTGTAAGGTGCACCTCTGCCTTGCCTTCTACCTAACTTCAGAATAGCACAGTTAATTAACTGCTTCTTTTGAGGTAGTTGAGTCTATTAATGCAAAATAAGATGTAGATTAGATTATGTGAGGAGTACCTTGTATGTTTTTTAAATTTAGCATGAGTTAGTCTTTAACCAACCCAGAGAAGACCAGAAGGAGATAGAAATGGGATTGAATCTTGCTGTTGATTAAGTTAATTGCTGGAAAGAGTTAATATACACAATCTTTTGTCTTCACTGCATGTTTTGACATGTTACTTCATTCTGGTCACTAGGCAAGTCGGACCTTTTCCTTCCTACTGCAGAAAAGAGCACTAAGGAGATAATGTCCTTATGTGGCTAGGAGAGAAGCTGAATACTGATTGGAAAGCAGCATTTGTACAGAACTTTAATCCTAACCATTTGGAAGACTTCATTCAGTTGTATTAGATTTTTCTCATATCAGTCTTTAGAAATGGTTCTCTCTTCTTTAGGCCTCACAGAACTGAGCTGTATCATGATGTCCCATCAGCATGCTGGCCAATTGTATATTCTCCGGATTACAATATCACGTTTATGGGACTGGAGAAGTTGCATCCATTTGATGCAGGAAAATGGGGAAAAGTAATCAATTTCTTGAAAGGTAAAAATAATGTCAAACTTTTTAATAAAACCAACATTTTAGGCAAGGAGTTATAAGCCTTTACTGTGGTAATTTCTAATGCAGAAAAATACTGCTTTACATTACCATTTTATTTGCTTGTTTTTTTATAGAATTTGTGCAAACTGAGTATTTTTATGTGTGTAATATTTCAGTGTCTGTAAAGGTTAAATCTCTGTAAGTTTAACTCTAGCCCTTAACATATCTGAGGGCTAATTGTTGAGGATCTTGCAAATGAGACCTTTAGAAACAGAAGTTCTGTCTGATCTGACATTAAAGATCCCACATCCATTCTCTCTGAAGCCTGGATTTGGCTGAATAATCCTATTTTCCATGCCAGCATCTGGCAAAACACCATCCAACGCAGTTGTGGCCGTATTTGAGTTATGTTGTGTATTTGGCAGTCCAAGAAGTATTGGAGCATGCTTGTCAATCTCACCCTCCCCATAAATTTGAATAATATAAATAAAAGTAAGGATGTTTGTTCAGTTCAGTTTGGTCAACTGTTTGATAAAGCTGTAAACAATGTTGATCAAATGGAACTCCGTATAGTGCTCAACCTGGCTTATCCAACCCCCAAAGAGACTGAATCTGCCCCATGACATAACCCAGGGGTTTTCAACCTTTTTTAGTCTTAAGTACCCCGGTGGCCAGATGCCGGGGGAGAGCGTGCGGCTGTATGCTGAGCGGGAGTGGGGATGGGTTAGTGCATGGCTGAACTCCGAGGGGCGGGTAGTGGTGCATGGCCGGACACTGTGGGCAGGTGGGGATGGAGTGCCACTGCCTCCCAGGAGCAGAGCTGGGGCGGTGGGGCTCACCGGGCTGCTGTGAGGGCACCGGTGTCCGTCTGTGGGGTGGGGAAGCTCACTAGGCTGCTGCTGCGTGTGAGCTTCCCCGCCCTGCAGAGGAGCACCACTGCCCTCGCCCTGCCCTGGTCCTACTCCTGGGAGGTGGCGGCACTCTGTCCCCTCCTGTCTGCGCACACCCCTTAGGACCGGTCCAAGTAACCCTAGGGGTAGGCGTACCTCCTGTTGCCCCCATGCTATGTCAAGGGTTGTCAAGCATTTTGGCCCTCCACATCCTCTTCCCTGCCTTGTGCCATCCTGCT